AACGGAGAACTCCCACGCTATTGCGATTGAAGTTAAGCTGGAACTCTCTCCTTCTGTATATCATTTTCTATATTATTCTAAGATCCAACTCAACTCATCTGTTTACGAAGTGAAATACATTTTTTAACAATCTTAATATGCTACCAGACACATTGCAAATGGGTTGCCTAAAAAAATCAAGTCAAGACTACCCTTAATTAAAATTGATGTATGCGCACTCTCTCTGACATCGATCCGTACACCACAAGCAGCTGTTAAGCTGTGCCCTTCTCTTTCATGCGGAACAGTACGGTTCTCGCATTTTTAACTCCCGAGAGTACGTCCCCCCTTGTTGATTCTTTATCTCGATTTATAATCCGAAACTCAAAAACCTGAATCTTTGGTTTCCGACTTCCGAAAATTCCTTTCAAAAACAAATTTACACTGGATGCTAAACAACATTTAACCCACACAAAAGAATGGTATTCATGAACAATTAATGAGAAAAACTGTACCTATATCTTTGTTTTGAGTACTAACATTGGTTTACGGAATAAATTCCCGTAAATCGACCTCTTCAGGAACGTTAGAATGACTTTAAGTGGACATTTTTTATACAAATTCCCCAAAAACGGTGGATCCTGTTTTTACACAAAGCAAAAAGTTCAAATCACTTTCATTTATCGATACGTAGAAAGATTCTCCCATGGAAAGCTGATTTTCTCCTTTGGAAGGTTAGCAGCAATTTGGAAAATAGGATGGCTTTTATTTAGTTACTCGTTGAAAGTGAATTTCGAAAGATGGTTGACGAATTTGAAATTGGCACAACCCCGTGCTTCAGGTTCTTCATCAAAGTATTAATGTCCACAGTATGGATATGTCCAAAATTACCCTTATTACTTAGGGCTACAGCAAAAGAGAACACAAATTAACTGTCTTCGACCTTTTTACCGGTTACTGTTTTATTTATAATTTTATTAGCATCTCGTATAAACAAATGAGGTGTTCATCTTTGATTAATAAACTGATTTTTAAACGTTACTTGGCAATGGCGCAAGGAAATGTTTGCACCTTGGACCCTACGCTTTCGTGGTTACAATTTTAAACACACTTTTTCCATGACATCTACAATACACAAAAATTAACAATCCTACGAAGTAACTCCACTCCTTTCCCATTTGTAAAAAATACCATTCCAAGGTCTCCTGTATCAAGTACATGAAATACATTGGTAATTGCTTGGATCTTCTCCAGTCCAGAAGGTGTCTAAGGTCCTGGATACAATAACCTTAGACTAAAGTTGTATTTTCATATGAATGCCGCTACGTATTTTATCATTCCGGAATTTACCTCTGCACAGACGAAACAGTTAAAGACATTCCAAAAAGGCAGATTCGTACACAAAGAATTGAAGTCCCTAATCAATCTCAATGAGTTTAAACATCGAAGGAACACTAACCACTGGCCAATTTTAAACAAATCAAAATTTAAAGTGAAACAAGCAAATATCGAAAAAATTCAAAGCCACAAATAACTAAACCCTAACTGAACGCAGAAAGCAGAAATAACGCTACCTGCATGAACTGAACAAAATGCAAAATCAGTAAAGCTAAATCAAGACGTTGTTTCAAAATTGATGATATGAACATTGTGACACTGTTGTAAAATCACAGCCATTGTATTTTAAAGGTTAATGTATCTCAATCGGTGTCTCTTCATACGCCAACAGTATTTTATAAGCAGAGATCTCAAGTTCCTAAAAGATAAATTACCGGCACAAATTCGAACTCATAGAGCACTGAAATGTGGCACACGATTTCAGATTTGTAATCCCAAATGAAGTTGGCTCGCCATCTAACATTTTGAGTATTTCGGTTATTTTAATGGTCGTTGAAAAATGATTTATGGCACATCGTTGCACAAAAAAGGTGCAAAACTTGTGTGACCAGAACCTCACTTGTTGCTAACTAACTGCGCAGACCTAAATGCGGTTTCCTGGACCATACTGTGGCAAGAAGTTAGTCAGTCTACATTTAAATAAAGCACAAATTGTATAACGCCCCTCTTTCTGGGTATAAACATCCAGTTGTTCCAACAAAGGTTCTGCTTTCACTGTTAGGTGCATATTTTTAGACAGAAACGAAAGAAATTCTGATACTTCCTGAATTCTTG